TCAACCTAAACAAGACGGGAATGCCACTAGTACTCAGGGGGTTACAGAGAGAGAAAAGACTGGGTACAGGAGGGAGATTTGGGAAATGATAAAAGAAAGATGAACGGAATTCAAGAATATAGAAGATTGCGAAGACACCTGTAATAACTCCTTTATAAATCCTATACAGGTATTTCTGATCCCAGGACAGATATCACTTCCTTGTTCAAAACAGGGAATCAGTGAATGACTGGCTAGAAAGCAACAACTAGCAGCTCAGACAACGGCTCCTTGATCTGCTTTACAGTGTGTACACTCTAATGGTCAGGACCACTTGGTTTATCATCATACTGATAGAAAACAGCGCGGAAAGGCATCTCATTCCCGTGAAGCTGAGAGACGAACTAATGGAGTGGGTGGCCAAGTAACATTTACATTGGTTTCACCACTAAAAAAATGGCTGCTGGATTAGATTTTTCTCCACCAGAAACTCGTGAATAGTTTTAGCAATCTGCTTTCCGAGTCCAGTCTTGGGAGTCACATGTGTGAGATATTCATTGCCAAGCTCAGCTGATGATGATGTAATGATCTTGCACCATCATTTTCAATGCCCACTTATTGGCTTTCTCATTCTTTATCATCAAATGAGTGGCGGTCTTATTAACATCAAAATACAGTGACGTCATATTTTCAAAACTAGCCATCTGAATTTCTTGCCACTTCAATCGGTAATTTTGTATCGCATCTCGTAGCTTATGGGGTCCAATAATTTGACCCTTGTCATCCTTTGTGATAATGCCATAACACACTAGGCAGCAGTAGCAATATCAGTTCCAGCATAATCACTAATCATGTCTCGGTCACAAGCAGTAGCCAGTGTGGGGATTCTTATCCTGTTCTGTGAGCTGATGTCTGTCAGAGCTTTTAGATTCAGCATCAGTATTTACAGGAGAAATATAACTCTTGAATCACCCGACTTATCCTCAACATAAAAATATATATATATATCCAGTTACCCGATCTCTATGTTTTTGATCAAATTGTCTACTGGCTCTGTCTGCATCATGCTTCTCACTTAGAGTCACTCTGTCCCACATCATCGTCACTCTCATGTTAATCCCTGCAATTTTCACCATCCTATCATCTCCCCCTGGTCAAGAAGGAAATGCACCTCACATTTAGGGACATTTATATAACAATTACAGGCCAGGTGATATCTGTCACACTACTTTGCGCTACAGATCCTGACAGGAAACAAGGGACGGTAACAGTTATAGATATCAAACAAGTCCCGAATTTTTTCCTCTTTGTTCACATTGTTGTTCTTATTACTACTGTATATTTTTCATAAACTTTCCTCAATAGTTTGCTGGCAAAAAAAAAAAAATCGGCGGTGGACGCATATCCCATCAAGTCTAGAAAGTGTAATACTGGACGTAATGTTTCTATTTTCTTGAAATTTTAATTATAAATTATAACTGCCAGTAACGCTGACCTTTAAAACAATAAATAGCTAATGTTCCCTACATGGAAACGGCTAACTTCATTATTCTCATAACAAAATCTTTAGCCAATACCCTATCTTTTCTCACTGTTTACATTAGCAATACCGATTCTTCAAATATTTTCTTTCTGGTTAATCCACTTTTCGATTATTACCCTTTTAATTCTTCTCAAATCTCTTTTTACGACAGTCTTTAGACTGGCTTTTTTTTTTTTGAGTGTCTTATCTTGTTAATATTTTCAGTGTCTTTATTTTTTGGTTCTATAATCTCCGCCTAAGATTTTCGAAATTTCCAAAGTTCCCATCACTTAATAACATTAAAATATCTCGTTACACGTTTGATTTTATATCTGCTTTTTACAAATCAAAACGATCTTTTATATCTGAAATGAAAAAAAAATGCCTAAAACTATACATTATGCACACACACGCACACACACACACATATATATATATATATATATATATATATATATATATGTGTACATGCATATATATATATAAATATATATATACATATATATGTATTTACATACACATACACTCATATATATATATATATATATATATCAAACACCCATATATATATATATATATATATATATATATATATATATATATATATATATATCAAACATATATATATATATATATATATATATATATATATATATATATATATATATATATATATATATATATATATATATATATATATATATATATATATATATATATATATATATATATATATATATATATATGTATATATATATATATATATATATATATATATATATATATATATATATATATATGTATGTATATATGTATGTATGTATGTATAAGCTGAACAACTTTCGCGTTGTAGAATACAATCTTAGAAGAGAAAAAATTGACAAGAAAGTTTAAATAGAAATTTCTTCAAGTAAAACTAAGGAAGAAAGCGTAAGCTTATGAAAGAGAAGAAGAAATTGAGAAAAGAAAGCTTTCAAAATAGTAAAAGGAAAGAAGAAATAACAAGACGAGAAGGACGAGTAAAGAGCTAATTTTGATGCGAACAGAGAGGGGGGGAATTCGAATAACTGCCGCTTCATAATAACACGTGGGAATGTAATCCTTATATTACAACGGCAGTGAGTATGCGACTCTAGAAAAATAAATAAATATTGAAAATAACTATCAGAATGCAACAGATGTAAGACATTGTAATTAATAAAACATGTTAAAGCCACAAGTACCTTCCTTTAATCGTCTGACTTGCACATTTATAAATCTAACAATCATTCGTTTATTGACTATTGCTGCCATTTTCTGATTTGGTGCTATATATCTCGAGATTCCTGACAAAATCCAAAGACGGTTTTAAATTATATCGGCCCTGACTTGACATCTCGGCTGCATTCACTTTCCCACGACGTAGCGAGGCTTCCCTTTGTCTTTACAATAAATATTTTCATACAGTTGTTCTAATCAGCTCTCCTCTTTGGTATCTCAAGCGCATGAATTTAAGCATACGACTAGATTGGCTATTAGATCTCATCGTTTTACTGCTGAATTAGCTAGATAGAACCGTAAGTGCTATTCTAATAAATTATTTTCTCATAATCTCACCTGTGTAAGACTCTTCCGCTTTCTTGCTTTCCTGTCACCTGCTATTTTCAAAATAAATAAATGAATAAATGCAACGTCAATCGTCATATTTTGTCTTTCTGAATCCTGTTCTTTTATTTTCATATTGAATCAATTGCTAGTTCTACCGCTAGGAAAGTTGGTTCATTCTGTCAAGCCATACAAATATTTTGCTGTTGAACTAACAAGATGTAACTTAGATTCTACAATTTATTTACCGTATATACTCGTGTATCATTCAACTTTTGAAGACCTAATTTTAGAGCTAACTTTAAGAGAGTCGCATCATACACGAGATATAAAATTAGCGCATGTACTGCTGATCCTATCTACGCCGTTGACCAAAATATATATTCGTTTACTGTAGTGAAATTAGATTCAAAATTAGGTCGGAACATACGCAACCCTTGCCAGTGAAACTCACTTTCAATTTCTTGCTTCCTTGCCACGTTCAATCTGCAAAAATTTAAATGCAACGTCAATTACCATCTTTTGTCTTCTAGAATCCTTTGCTAAATCCTCACTTCTCACTAATGTCTTCTCATTCCCTTCCAATCTCAATAACCCCGTGAGTCTTAATGTCATTATCGACTTGCTTGGATTGAAATAATTAGAAAAATATACAAACAAGTGTAAATCTAATATAATATCATCCTGAAACTGAAGATAAACGGAAAATCAATTCCACATGATTTAATACGATTACTTTTGATACTTCACAGGATAAATCCTCAAATGACGTTTGAAATAAAGACAAGTAAATGTTTCAAGTAAAAAAACAATCAAAACCTATTGATCTCTGAACGATAATCTACAATCTAATGATTCCATGTATGTGAACTTGTGTTTTTGTTATTCTTACAGAAAAAAACCCCGAAATACGGCACATTTTAGCGAAACTTTTATAAATACAATATCGTTAAAATGCTCTATCAGTGTAAGTTCAATTGAGTCGACGATTTCTGAGTAATCATTTTTAAGTATATATTATCAGAAGTAGCTGCCCAAATACGATAACTCCAGTTCTGTCAGTTACAAAATTGTTTCTCTCCTGCTGCTTGCATTTTCTCTCTCATCCCCCAATATAACTTCTCATATTCCCATGGAATAAGATGCATATCTATTTTTCCAAAGTAGTTTTGTTTCTGATTGAATTCACTTGTGCGTTGTCCGAGTGTCGTTAGATTTCAACATAATTCTGGAGTTTTCAAAAACCAGTCTCTGGGAATCTTGGAATACACGCCATACTATGGTTCATTCAGTGTCACACGTCTGAAAAATATATTGTATGAATTTTGCATCTTTCAATTTTATTCCGTTTCTTTCATGTGCTCATTAGTCGCTTAATCTTCTGGGTGTCCATTATTCGAGAAGATCATGAAAAGCCTGTAATTCAAAGTTCAGGAAACAGAAGCCTTTATTATAAACAAGTTTGTTTGCTTTTATCCGACTGTCGTATTAATTGAATAAATTCGGTTCCTTTTTAGAAACAGGGTTTGCTGATTACTGTTGAACGAGTTCATATCAGCCATTATTATTAGAGAGGATCCGTCACTTTGTAGACTGGAGCCATCATATTGTAGACTGGAGCCATCACTTTGTAGACCGGTGCCAAATCTTTGTAGGCTAGATCCATTACACTGTAAAGCGGTGCCACCACTTTTTAGACCGGAGCCAGATCTTTGTAGACTGGAGCCACTACTTTGTATAGCAGGGCCATCAACTGATATTCTACTTACGAAAAATAGTTGTTGATATTAATAGTAGAAGTTGATATAAATCTCCCTAAGTGGGATATATTGTTTGATCGATTTGTTTTTTACGACTTAGCAACCCTTTTATAGGCTATTTAAAGCCAAAACATATTTTGGATTGTTGGAGGTTGCTTACAGTACTCGGTGTTCCCTAGCGGTTCCCCATCTAAGTACTGACCAGGATCGACGCTACTTTACTTTGGTGATCGAACGGGAGCCAGTATTGTTAACGTTGTTTAGTCATAAACAGCCAGGATGTAAATTGGACTAGGCTATTTTATAACCCGAGATAAGGACTAATGTGTAGATTTAATCATACTCGGACTATTATTCTGGATTAGGTTTCTGTTGTACATACATTTCCTCCCGGGATCCAACCAAAGATCTAAGATCAGAAATCGCTTCATGACATTTTCCAAAAAACAAAAACAAAACAAAAACAAACAAACAAAAAACAAAACAAAACAAAGATCACATACATTTTATATTGATAACACTCTTCATAATTGTTGAAACTTGACTAATGCATGGAATAATAATGCAACACAAAATGTACTTAGAACAAAATGTATTGAAACAAGAAAGTGTACACAATATTTACATACAGTATTTTGTATATTCTTGGTAAGACCGTTCCTGGAGAATGTGCTGACTGAGTCGCAGTCGGGCAGAGTCTCTGGTTTAATCTCTTGATTCCTTCCTCTCTTCCCGGTACCAACCATATTTATATGGTCGGTACTCCACTATGCAAATTAGGTGGATCCTACCACAACAATAATGTCTGAGCTGTAGTTGTGAGTATAGTTTTTGTATTTCTTTAAGTCATGGGCTACCAGGAATCCCTTCAATGAGTCTACCGAAACCTTTTTCCAATCAATCCGCCGTCTCCAACTACAAACGGAATTATTGATGTCCTCATGTGCTATTTTTTTTTAGATTTTCCTTTAAAGATCCTTATATTTTGATAGGTTTTTAAGATCTTCAAAGATACATTGTAATCTGCCGGCACTGCCATGTCAATAAGAAAGCAGATTCTGTTTTTGTGGTCATTGATCACAATGGAATGGCGATTAGATTTGATTATTCTGGCTGTGTGTATTGTAACGTCCCATAAAACTGTTACAAATCTCTTTAGTCGGGTCTGGTTGATGTTCATACCAGTTTCTGACAGTTTCCTTCCCGTAAAACTGACATATTTTCCAGAAAAAGAAAGTTTGATCGCTTCTCGGACTCTTTCTGTCTCTTTTTCTCTCCAAGCATATCGCCAGACTTATCTCTGAGATTAATGACCGCTGAATGAGAAAACTTTGCGTATACACAGTCTGTTCAATAAGGCAGGGACAATTTGCATATTTCCTTTTGATTGAAAGCTGCCAAAATGAAAATCGACGTCTATTGATGAAATTTTACAATTACCTAGCAACTTATAACCAAGTTGTTTTCGCTGATACATCTTTGTCTTCCTTTCTGTCGGAGGAAAAAAAAATCAAATTTTCAATTGATTTTTACGAAATTTAAAGAGAAGTTGGCTTTGACCCACACAATGTTTTTTTTATTGTATAAGTCTTTACAATTCTTAACAAATATTTCAGCAAAGTTTAACTTAACACCAGGTAAAAAACAACAACAAAAGCAAAAAAAAAAAAAAAGTGCATCAAAGTACGTTATTTCTGTGAACACCGCTAATACCGGTCATTTTTATGGTTTTAAAATGTTATTTTTAGATTTTTTTTTTACACAATGTCTAGCACGACAGTGTCCTTCAAACAAATTGTTATTCCACAAATAACAACAATCCCAATATGCCTTTTTAAGGATAGGTTGAAATATGTAAAGTCTTTATTCGCAAATAAGCTAAATTTAAATGTTATTTTACGTTTAAATGACCGAACGGATCGAGCCAATTTCTTTGTATTTAATAAATTCGAACAGGGAGAATTTAATAATGCACATGGCGAAATTTGAAACAAATGGATTTTGTTGCAATGTAAACGAATTGATTTTTTGGCAAAGTAAACACACCACGAACAACGTATTCAATGAAAGATTATTCTGAATTGATCTGTTAAATAAAGATTTTATTTAGGAAATAACCTTCGACATAAATTATCTCCCTTGCTTAAACTGACTCAACATCGTTTTGCGTAAGACCCGGCGGTGAGCTGTGATCTAGGGGCCCCTAGAAATCCCATTATAGATTATTATAAAAAAAAACAAAAAACAATTGGTTTAATAACAAACTGGATGTATGCAAAATTTCATCAATATTGTCTCACCGGTTTAGGCGGAAACTTTATTTAGACAAACATAAATTGCCATATATATATATATATATATATATATATATATATATATATATATATCGATACACCTAGTGAGCCAGACAAACCTACCTAGGTTTCACCTAAACGGATCGTCAGGGTAAGTTTAGCCAAAGTTTCCCTGACGATCCGTTTAGGTGAAACCTAGGTAGGTTTGTCTAGCTCACTAGGTGTATCTAGGTCTGCCCTACGGTTGTATTGAGCTCTTTTGTTAGTTAGTTGTTACTCGTATCGGGGTTTTCTTTGGGCTTCAGACCTGCATCTGTGTGATTTTTTGTCGGCAGAAGTTCATGTTTGTAGCTCTTTTTTTTTAAAACCTTTTTGTTCCTCGAGATTGATTTGATTAGCAAATCAATAATTCGAGGGTTTTTCGAAACGAGTCTAGTTATCTATATATATATATATATATATATATATATATATATATATACATAGTCACCATCTCTTTCAATGGGAGTATTCCACGTTCGAATGGACCCATTATAAGCAGCAGCAAGACCTTGATTGAGACACTGAAGACTTTTGAGGAGCGTGTCACATCTGACAGCGTGTGGCGGTTGGTAGATATCCAGTAGTTGGGGAATCATTGTGGAATTCACTTGACTCACTTCTAGCAGTTGACTACTTCTTCTACACGCCACTGGCGAATCTTTTTGTGTTGTTCTCGACTTTAAATCTTAGGACCTCTTTTTCTTCTTTTTTTTAAATAGCAGTAAATAGGCTATCGCCCGGTCGATACTCTCCACCCTTCACTTGAACAGGAGTAGAAGCTCATCCCTTGTTTCATGTTTAGCAAGGGGTTCCCGGTTCCTTTCCTTCACTCAGCCCTTAATATTGGTGCTGTCATGTATTTTTTGAGTGTACCGGGTTGGAAGTTTTCTGGTTGCTGCTCCCGACTGGTAGTTTGGAGCCCGAACTCTTGCGTAGTGTCTTGAGAGTCTGCTCTGATCAACAGTCGCATTATATCGGGATTCTTGCAATGCCATGTCGCGCATGGAAGGGGATGCCAGCAAGCATTTCCGTTTATGTTGCAGTTTACGCCAGCTCCCTTCTTGCACATGTTACATTTGACAACCGACTTCTATTAATTCTCTAGTCCATTTCCTTACCAAAATAACAAATCATGAATATAAACACCCAAATTATACACCTAAAGCAGCTCATCTCAAAAAAAAAATAAAAAAAATAAAAATAAAAAATAAAAAAATAAAGAAAAACACTTAAACCCTTTAACCTTTCTTTCTCCAACATTAGTGGTATTCCTACCAACTTTTTCCTGTCCTGGGTATGACGATAAACTACATCCGCGTCCTGGGTATGAGGATAAACTACATCCGCGTCCAGGGTATGACGATAAACTGCATCCAACAGCAACGCCTCTGATTAGGAAGTTGTGAGGAGTGTGGAACCATTCTTTATTGCTGGTGTTCCCAGGTCCATCCGACCCGGGGTGGTAGCACCTGGTAGGTCCCAGCTATGGTCAAATAGTTAACTCCCAAACTGGGATCAAAACACTATGTAAGCGTAAAATTGTAAAAAAAAATATATTACCGGCTATATTATTTTGAAAAAAAAAAATTGAAAAAAATATTAACAGAAATAAATCAATGAAGGGAAAAAAATTACCAGCAATACATTTGATAAAAAAAAAATACCAGCAATAAAAATTTTGTCGGCATTAAATAACCCTTGGCGGTTGATATGTTGTAAAACAAAAACAAAGACAAAAAAAAAAAAAAAAAAATTCAAACCAACTCCTTCAATGTGGAATCGTTCGTTTTCGAAATGTCTCCCAACATTCTAGCTCTCTGTGAAACTAATCTTATCTCTTTAATCCCCTCCTCTGAATTCTCGATTTCTCGCTACATTCCTTTCCTTAGAAAAGACTCTAATGTCCCCATTCATCGGCTGAGAATTTATATCCGCGAACATCTGCCGGCTAGATAACTCTCTCTCTTGAATCGCCAGGCAATTCTTACATCTGTTTCAGTCTGTCTCTACTTAACTCAGTCAGCTATACCTTCTTTCTTTACCATTCATCTTTCTCTTAACACCGTCGCGTGCTAGCTAGTTTTTCCGATAATATAGACAAGGCCATCTCCCTGCAAATATATTTGTGTTCGGTGATTCAACGCCCACCATAGCAACTGGTTAAACACTCTGCCACTGACCTCGATGGCAATCAAAGTTTTCCATTCTCAATCCCTCACGCAAGTAGTTGACTTCCCAACGCGTTTCCATAGCAACCTTGACGGACATACCTCTCTTCTCGACCTCTTTTTTTTTACCTCTATCCCTGACTATTCTCGTACTACGCAGCTCTGATCTCTTGGCAACTTTGATCATGCGGTAATGGCTGTAAATATCTCCTTCCGTTCCCCCACCAGCCAAGAACCTCCTTACTAACAGAATTCACTTTAGTTACTAACAGAATATTCTATTATCATCGAGCGGTTTGGGACCTGTTCCTTTGTGACGTCACTTGGAATTAAGTTTTGAATCGTTCTGTTCAAAAATGCACGTCTGTCTCCTCCTGGGGGAAAGCCGGTATGGATGCTTTCATCCCAGTCAGGAAAAATCAAGTTGAACCGCATTCATCTCCTCAGTTTTCATCTGCATGGTAGACAGCTATAGCCCACAGGAATCACTTCTTTCGCTGTACCAGAGAAACACGTCTGATTACCACAGATGTCTATTTGTCTACACTGTTTCTGATCTGTTTTGCTTATGTTAACGTTATGTTATGATTTTCTTTAAACCTTCAACAAAGCCTCATTGGCATATGGCGGGATACGATGTTAGTGTAAGGTAATGTCAAACACTATTATAATATAACAGTATTGGATTTGAACAAAACTAAGGAGGCTTGGCTCCATTCAAACGTTTAGGAAACGTGGTTATTGTAACAACCATGATGATTA